GTCTGTCTGTCTGTCTGTCTGTCTGTCTGTCTGTCTGTCTGTCTGTCTGTCTGTCTGTCTGTCTGTCTGTCTGTCTGTCTGTCTGTCTGTCTTCATTACCTCCCATTTCCCAACTGCTCCCAAGCTCCGCTCCTCGCTTCCTGTGTGCGCTGCGCACCCCCCGCGCCCCCTTTCTTTTCATTTCCCATCCCTCTCATGCCGTTTTTGCTCCTTTTGCGATACGCGCAGTGATGGGCCCCCGCGCGCTCCGCCCCGCTCCGCTGCCCCTCCCTCCCTCAGCCCGCTCCAGCAGCTCCACAGACTCCGGACCTGTCACCCTCCGCTGCTCGCTCGCCACGGCACGAGTCCGCTCTCCCCCCGCCCAGCACAGCCCACAGCCCGCAGCCGCAGGGGAGGACTTGAGCTCCACCCGACCCTGTTTGCATTATTCAGACTCGAGATGGGACAAAGTGGGGAACAGGAAAAGCGAAGCGCAGCGCACGGTAACAAACAGGCAGAGGAGCGAGCTTACGGCTGCATGCGCGTGCGTCGAGTCCGCATCTCTGTTTCTCGTCTGTCGCTGACATTCTCCGCGCACGATTGTCAGACGCACTCGGTTTGACTTAACTTTGTTTCCTCGCTTCTTCCCCCATCAGGATGGCGAGCGTGACTCTGCCCGCGCCCTCGGGCCCCGGCCCGGGGCTGGGCCTCGCCATGACCACGTCCCTCACCGCCTCCATGACGGCGTCCATGACGGCTTCCACGGCCTCCTCCGCCATGGAGGCCGAGGTCCTCACCGAGCTGTTCCACGCCAACGCCGACCACTACCGACTGTCCTTCTCGGCCATCAATCGCATGAGGCAGCACTCGCAGGTAATTCACACGGGACGCGATTTCCAGGCGATAATTCAAGGTCGAAGGCGATGCCGGCCGCCGGCCGCGCGGAGTAGAGTGACTGTATCCTAACCGTTTCTGCCGCAGCTCTGCGACGTCACGCTCAAGATCGGCCCCGACGCCATCCACGCCCACCGGCTGGTTCTCGCCGCCGTCAGCCCGTACTTCAACGCCATGTTCAACGGTAAGTTTGACCTCGTGCCCACCCTCGAGATTATCTCATACAGTGCCGCTCCTACGGGCACTGTATAACTACAAAGTAGTCAGAGGGGCTGGCGATCACGACCATACATGCAGGAAAAGTACATATGCGAACGGGGCCCTTTCCCGCTGACCTTTTGCAGTGACGGAGGGAGAGCATAGTATAGGGAGTGGGTTTGGGGTGGGGGGTCGTTACCCTCCGTTCGAGACTGCAACCGAACACAGACCGTGTTTTCTTTACGCGTGTTGTTGCACCCGCGGCTGCAGCAGACGGCCTCGCGCGCGGTGTGGAGCGGCGCGGCTTTGTTCCGTTCGGAAACGCGCCATGTGCTTCCTCTCTTGCTGCGCCGCACGCCCCGCCCCGGACACCCAACCAGCGCGGCGGTCGCACTGGTGGTCAATGGTCTGGCCTCACCCCCGGCCGGCACGCCCCCCCCCCC